TATATATATATATATATATATATATATATTATGCATCGAACATATGATCACGCAAATCGTGAGGTGATTCAATGTATTTGAATAGGCACCAAAGGATTGCATCGGCAGTCAAAAGACGAAGACACCAAATGTCGCTCCATTTGGTTGGAACCACGAGCCAACCAGACAAAATAACAGGAAGATCAAGATCCAAAGGGTAGACAACTATAGCTAGCTCCTTCGAATACTTTAGGGATTCTTCACAGAGATGCCAAAGGGAATCCCGGTATCTTTCCAATCCTGTTAGAAGACCCCTTGTCCAAGGAGAGCTGTCCGTCAGATTACGGTAATCTACCCACTGCCTGATGATCCAATTTCACCCAACGATAAGAGGGCATCTACTAAGGATTTTCGCAATGAGGTCGACTGAAGACCCTTTAGTCGATCTAAGACCCTTCAACTGACCGAATGATTCTCAATCAATTGAATGATAACACCAATAGGTCAATAAAGCTTTCCTTTTTAGAAAATATGGAACGGTGGCAACGCTAGTTATGGATCCTAGAGTCGACTACAAATATAAAGTGGTGCATTAATTATTTCTAATATTCCTATTTAAATAGGAACAAATATGTAACTTATGAGACAACCCCCTATAATCTATAAATAAGTGGTCATTTCTTCATGAATGAGCTGCTTGACTTATTTTTTAAGAACTTGTATATTGTGCACTATATATATATATATATATCTTTCTCTATCTATGCTCTTCTCATATGTCCAACACTCTGCTCCTTGGGTGTGGTCGACAAGATATTTTTGGATTCAGTAGCCTAAAAGGTGCGATGAGCATAAAATCATACTGTCAACAAGAAGAGAAGCGTGTCACAAATAAGGAACCCACTTAGAAGTAACTTGGAACATGGAGTCCGTCAGAGAGTTTGTATAACAAAAAATTCAATAACTCTAAAAATGAACAGTGGGACAAATGACAAACTAACCCACGTTGTACGGAGCATATAACATCCTTTGAATCGATAATATGCCTTCTCAAAGTCTCTGAAGTGTTGAAGTGTCGACGGTTCTATATCACACTGAGGGATTTGACCCTTAGGTGGTTTAATGACCTCCTGGTAGGAATTATCACTTCCTTAAGCGAGTTTAAGAAGCTATTTACGACGTAGTTTACTAGAGCTCAAAAACCTCACAAGGACTCACAAGCCGTACGACACGTCAAACGGGGCCGAACGAGAGCCTTTATGCTCTTCACACTCAATTTCAGAAGGAGATGTTAGAATTATGAAGTTTGGAGCTAGTAGTAACAAAGGCCCCCCTGACACAAGGGTTAAGGAGTGCACAATTTAAATACTTCCATCAACCCAGCAGTCTGGCTTAACTCTTCGAGTTGGCCAATGCTCACATCATGATTGAGAAATATGTTCACCCACCTTACCAAAAGGGCAAAAAATTGGACCACTGCTAGGAGAACAAGAGCTCGAGTGATGACGGTGTCTTTCGATTTCTTTGAAAATATTTTTAATTTAACGTACATATATAATTTTGATTTTTAAAAATAACATCTTAATTTTGAAAAATGGGACAAGATGGATCTCATTTATTTGATAGTTTAAATAACTAAGCACAATATTACAAGCAATGCACCACCCGGAGAGATGAGTATATCACTTGTTAATAGGCTCAACCATTTAAACTAAAAAATAAATGACATTCATTTAATCTGCGAATTTTGTGACTAGCAATTTCTCTACTTAATTTAAATATTACATAGAGTTTATATTACCTGAGTTTCTAATTCCTTATAGGGGTAAACCCCTATAGTTAATTACATCTTAAATGTTCGAAGTCACTCAAGAAAACTCTCGATAATGATCAGAGGTTTCGTCTTCAAGAATTCAAAGTTGAGTTTTCATGATTGTTTATAAGAAAATGTGGAAAGGACTCAAATAAGAATAGTTATTTTGGAGACCAAAGGAACGAAAGGTGGGAAATTTCACAAGCTCTGAGGAGGACCTCAATGACTTCCCAAATTATTTTTTTATTTGGCTTTATATTTTAGAAATGATGTTATTTGATGTTTACTCCTATCATTTTTTTTATTTAGGGCTTACATTTGCACAACATACGGTTATGCAAATCGTCTGGAAGGATAGGAGAGTTTACGTCATATCGAACGAACAACCTCAGAGTCCTATAAAGAGTTAGGACTTATATTGCACAACAGAATTATACAAAGGTTTAAAAATAAAGTGATTAATTACATCGTGCTAGATGAACAACCTTTCAGTCCTAAGGGTTTATGTTATTTGTAAAACTAAGGAAAGTTTTGTTGGGGATCAACATTAGCTATGTGTTGAGTCTTGATCATAATCTCAAGTTGTCCTCCATCCACTTGCAGTTGGTTTTAAACTCTTTGTTGTGATGGTTTTGGGTTCAAGATTTGTGCTTGAGCTTATGATTGTTATTGAGACTCAGGGCTCGCTGTAGGGTTCCTCCTGAATAGGCGGACTACTATTCTCTACCCTAATGAGTCTTTGTAGGTACATTAAGTAACATAATATTGATATAGTACATGTAATCAAATAAACATATACATTAGAGTGCAGTAAAAAAGAAAGCACGACAAAGAGGAAGTAGTAGTGCATACCTGTCGCCCCCAATGCTACTGCTAAAATGTTATCATTATAAACACACCATGCTAATATACAAAAATTAAACAAAACACGGGGAAACATAAACATGTAGAACAAGTTAAATGACACATATAGAAGATCAGGGCTAGGTGTTAGAATTTTAAGTTGTGGGGTATACTCAGAATCAGGACCAAAGCCCTAATACTTTCTCGAGGGACATCCATAGACAAACATCACCATCATGCAAGTGAGACCCAACATAGGGAAAAAATCTACCAACAAGGCAATCAAGAGAGGGTGCCACTCAGCCTGGTTTATGTTATTGAAAAATGATCTTGCCAAAAGGCAACACTAAAAAAAGTTCTAAATTTGTCATGCAGATAAATAAATTAGATTTAGATTTCTTTTTAGCAGGCAAAGTATGAGTTTCATCCAAAAGTATATTGTTTACTACTATACATATTTTTACAAATCAAATATTTCACAAGTCAATCACATCATTGGATTATAACCACTAGCAGCCCATGAGAGCAAGAGCAGACCTTTACTAAATGTTAGGGAATAGTAGTATCAATCATATGCCCTCACGAGGTCATCCATGAGTATAATCCCTTAATGTTCTTTGTATGTTTTGATATTCATTTATTTATTATTGAGTATCTATGTTAATATATTGATTATTCACCATTTCTTTTTCAAGTTCATTACTTTTTTTTTCTATTTTCTTATTTTTCTAATAGTTCACTCTTGTTTAGAGTTGTAAGGTTCAAGTTTTGTTGGACCTGTCCTACGAGTTCACTAACTAAAGATTCACTAGTAGGTTTAAACACAAACAACTAGTGAAACAAACAAAAAAAAAACAATATTAAAATTTTTCTAAATTTAAGTCATAATAGTTCAATTAAAATTCTCCTAAATTTTTAACCGTCGTGTTACCCGGAAACGGTGCTAGAAAAGCTTGACCCCTAACAAATGCTTCAATGCTCATGTTGATTATGCAAGTGCACCATGAAAGTAGTATTTGCCTTTTTTGAG